CGGATAAGAATTACGTAATGTGTTTGACGTATTTAGGGGGAAGATAATATTTTGACTTGCTTTATTTCAATTATAAAAATAGCTCAGTACCAATAATATGGTTGTGACCTGTAAGTGGCGATTATAATATCCCTGAGGCATAAAGTCAGATGCTTGTCAAATGCCAATTTGATTTTAGACTAAATCTTCTCCAGTATAATGAAGTATCAGATGGCAGTTACACTGAATTAGTTAATGGAGTTTTGAATACAGAAGTGATGGGGAAAACTTTAAGAATATTGTTTCCCTTTAACTTTGTACCGTAATTAAGGGTCATAAACAAAATGTGGAAGTTGCAGATTTGATCAATAAGCTTCCTGGTAATGATCTTATCTGAGGGATGGACCCATGGTACTAGCTTGATATTCGACTTGACCAACTTGGAAAACATGATTGGTTAGACAGCTAGTGAATGATTATTGTGACATTTAGGTTTGATTAAGATTGTTAATTGAATATAAAAAATGTAAAGAGAAATTTTCACGATTCCTCTCTACGTAGACACAAAAAATAGAGCAAAATTTTGGAATCTTTGCATAAATTATTTGAAGAGTGAAGATTTTTATGCGCTGAATCTTTGCACTTCCATCAATGATTAACTTATGTAGGTGACGGAGAGCATCTCTATTAGTTCTGTATTCTTCTTGTCTAAGTAATGATATAACTTTCTTTTTGTAGGGATGTTCAAGCAAGTAGTATACTTCTTGATGATAAATTTGAAGTGCGGCTAGGGAGCCTGAGTGATGTCCGTTCTCAAGAAGGGGACACTCATCAAAGCAGGATTACCAGGTTGCTGCGGTTGCCACAGTAAGTGTTCTGTCAATAATTTCATCTAATCACTTGTCTCTTTCCGAACTGTGACTATTCATAGATGTACATTGTCTATATGAATTTATAAATATTTATTTTGACATATTATTTATTCAGTCTGTTGTAATATTTATTTTGACATATTATTTATTCAGTCTGTTGTTGAGTTACTATGGTAATACATGACATGTTTTAATCTTTTTTTTATAAAAAGGCTTGTGCTTTTATATCTATTTCTTGCTGCTGTCCTAGTTAAACTGCTCCGTATATTTGCAATTTTGCATATTTTTCTTTTTCTGTGACTACCTTGTTTATTAACTCCTTGCAATATAATCTATATTAAATAAGTTTCCTTTTTTTTTTTTTTTTTTTTTTTAAATTTTAATTCTCATGATGCCATATGATCAGTTCTATCTTCGAGTCTCTTCTATTATCTTCTTAGCTGCACTACCCTCCCTCAATCCCTCTAGCAATGCCCAAAGTAAACCTGTGCAGTTTGTAAAGTTAGCATGACACAGATGTTCTTTTGATGCAGCGTGAAAATAAGATGAAGGATCGACAAGCGTCAAATCTGATATCATAAACAGAGTCCACCAGAAAATTGAGAAAACCTCTGAATTTGATTGGTAATAATATGAATAATCTGAACCAAGATAAGCCTTTATATAGGCATCAAACCCAAATTCTAGTAGTAATTGGAAATGTAATGAATAAAGGAAACATAAAAGAAAATCCTAATTAACTAGAGAATATGAAATCTAATCCTTATTGGACAAGGAAAGATAAAATTACCCCAAAAGTTTCCCAAAACCTATTCAAGCAACCTGAATATTCCAACGGTACGCCTTTCCATATTTTATCACAAAATGCTTGATGGTTGAACGTGAATTTTCTTTCTTGCGTCGTCTCTTGCCAATCGTCCACGATTGTCTTTTCTCTAATTTTAGCACTTTAATCAACCCTATTTTGTCCTATATCATCTTTTGTCTACGGGTTTTATTAACCTTAGGTGCATTGTATACTTGTTTATCGTTTCACTATATGCGGTTTTCATAATTTCAATGTAAAAGACATTAGACATTTCGTATTAATATCTTTAACCCTTAAACAAAACTAGCGCCTGGGGCAAGGTTACTCATGATGCTGATCCTATCAAATTGGATCTGTTTACATTCTTGCTGATCTTTGCTGAATTGCGTGTAACCTTGCACTGAGGTTTTTTTTTTTTTTTGTTTTTTTTTTTGTTTGGATTTTTTGTTTTAATCATCATCTGTAAAGATTTGATGCATTTGTGCGTACAAACCTCTCATCAGTTTTCTTTACAATGCAGGTCATCTGAACATGGTGCTTCTGGTACGTACATATCTCGTTGTTGAACCCCAAATCATTTTAGCTCTTTTTCACTTTTGTTTCTCTCCTAGCATTGAACAGACTTGCAGCTCTTTGGGACAGTTATATATGTTAATTTATTTTTTATTTTTTAAAGCGTAATTTGACTTTCGATCTTTGAGGCATAAAAGAATGACCATCATATGTCTAATAATTCTCTAAGGCTTCATTTTTATTTATAGAAAGTGGTAGCATATAATGATCTTGTCAGATAAATTTCTAATGTATATTTTAAATGAATTGAGAGGGTCCAAGAAAAAAAAAATTTGACACCTTTGAAAGTCTCATACGTTTTCACTCCAGCTTTTCTGCATGTTTACACAGACCAGAGTCATAGCATGTGGTTGTACTTCCAAATCTGTTAATTAGTACTGAATTTTATGTTTATCTGAAATGTACAGGCTCCCCAACAGCAGTGTGTGCCTATGACGTTTACTGTTTTGGGAAGGTGTTGCTTGAACTCGTAACAGGTAAGTTGGGCATAAGTGCTTCCAGTGACACCGACGTGAAGGAATTGTTAGATCAGATACTACCATACATCAGTATATATGATAAAGAACTTGTGACAAAAATTGTGGATCCATCACTGATTGTGGATGAGGACCTATTAGAGGAAGTGTGGGCCATGGCCGTTGTGGCCAGGTCCTGCCTAAATCCGAAGCCCTCAAGGCGTCCCCTAATGAGATATATTCTCAAGGCTTTGGAAAACCCTTTGAAGGTGGTGAGGGAAGAGAGCTCCGGTTCTGCAAGGCTCAGAACAGCCTCTTCCAGAGGGTCTTGGAATGCTGCTGTGTTTGGTAGCTGGCGCAGCTCATCTGAGGTAGTGGTCATCCCAGGAGCCTCAACTATGAAAGGGGAAGGAGCAAGTGGCTTAAAACATTCAGGAACCAGTGGTTCGCAGGGAAGTGGTCCGACGAATGGTGGCGGGGAACATTCATCCTCACGCAGACGGCATTCTAGGGATATATGTCCGGAACCATCTGGTGTACATGATGTAGAAAAACCTGACCAGGACTAGAGGATTCACCTTGATTGTTCTTGATTCTTTGTTAATAACACAGCAGGCTTATTTGAGTGCCTGTCTGTTGGTACCCCAGCAAAGCGCCTCTTGGTTTTGGAGTTGGGTGGTGTTTCAAGCCAATTTTTGTAAATGGGTGTGGTTCCATGGTCCGCAGATTCTCAAGGAACACTGATTGTGAAGTTGCATCAAAATTTCGATATTCGGGATGGTGAATTCAGCTTGAGGATGAGAAGGATGGGGGGTGCCGTTGGCGGATAGGGTTCATATTTGTTGGAAGGGCTACAATTTTATTTGTAATTGATTTGTTCTGTTCCTGTTCAGTTTCTGGTCAGTGTAAATTGTAATTGGTAAAGATTTCTTCATTCAAATCAGATTCTCACATTTGGGTTTAGTAGGAAAACACAACACCAAAAAAGGAATTGTGGAACAGAAAGTGAGCTTTTATATATACTGAGACTTTTCAGTTCTACATTTTCTACCGGCTACTGCTTTTACCGTTATTCCTGAATCATTTACCCTTCACATTTTCAACAGATGTAGGTAGGTGAGGTCACCTACCAAACCCAAAGTCTAAGTTTCTCTTTTGCTAGCATGTGTTATAACTGTCTCGTTATATGGAGCATGTGTTATAACTGTCTGCGTGCATCCTTGCACCGATCGACCAAGAGAACGGGACTATATGTTATAATACCAGTACTATTCTAAAAGATATCAAAAGAGAATCTTGGCCTTTTCGTGTAGCGTTGGAAAATGGAAAAAAAATAAAATAAAATGACACTACACAAACCGCCCGGTCATGTTCAATCAGTTTCGGTATGATTGCTCCCCCTTGGACTCAAGCGAAACGATTAGGAGAAATCGAACACACAACCATGCCTTTAACCACTAGAGGAGCAGCCGCTCCCAATTAATAATAGCAGTGGAGCGAGTTTGTTAACAGATGTGGATTAGGTCGTTTGACTACGGTAATGTGTGCCTTGCTTTCGAGTTTGAGTCCGCCCCTCAAAGATTAAAACAGTTTATAACTTTACTTTGTAATAAAATAAAATAAAGCAAGTTTGAGTTTATTTTTCAGCCATCTGTTTCCTTCATTGTTTGAATTTGGTATATACCTATATCTATCTATATCTATATATATAATTTGTAAGAGGCTACTCATTCGAATTTTGCACTCTAGATATTGAACTGGGAAGCATGTGACATGTTATTCTATCCACTATCCACAATTTCATTATTCCTACTAGTCACAGCTATAAAAAAATAATTAAAAAGACTAATAAACCCTGTAAACATCAATGGAAGATAGCTTACATCAATTCAATAATATTGTTATGAGTTGTAAAAGGTGATTATAATATCCCTCTTAATATATACTAAGAGAATATAATTTTTCAGAGTCGGAGTAAGAAGGATTGGAATATAGTTACTTCAGAATTCCGGTCATGGACTTAACAGCTTCGAGCAGAGCTGGATTGATGAAGCAGTAGTGCAATCATCATCCTTTTCAGAGTAGTGGGCGAAGTCCAAGTGACTTTGCTGAGAATGACCATGCTTGTTCTACAAGACACAAAGATTTGATTAGGTATGGAATCAGTCAGATCCTCTATATGTCTTGGAGTTCCTACAATCTGGGAATTGGTGGGCACTGCAATTAATCACACCTAAAGAGGATGCAATATCTACCTTTAGATATCCTCTATGATTCTCCTAACTTAACACAAGATTCTATCAAACAATTTAACTATCCCATATGATCTCCTTCATGTATCAGTTAATTATATATCTTATTCGTTGAATTCAAAATTATATATCTTACAACTCAAATTAGTAAGGAAGTGCTAAAAAATTAAAGTTACATACATACCATCACTAGTAAAAGGTGATAAGTTAGGACTGAATAGTTTATGAATCCCCAATGCTAGATGTGTAACCATTCCTTTTTTCTAGAACAAATTAAAATCAAGAACTCATTGGAAAATAAGAAAGGAAGCATGCAACAAAACAAGAGAAAAAAAACAAAAACAAAGTAATGAAAAATAAATATTCATACCTGTTTCAAGTGCTTCATAAAACTCCATATATTCCAAGATTGTCTCGTCGTCTAAAATTGAGATGTTATTTGACATGAACCAATTTTGAGTACAAATGTGTACAGGTGCTATCTTCTGCAATAGAATAGAAGCTTCCTTCATATAAGACTTATTGTAAATGCAACTAAACAAGTCATGAGTGACCAGAGATTGCTTTACAAAGACATAACAATAACAATGGAAAAAGGAATATACATAACAAGTAGGAAACCATAAAAATATTATTAGATAATTCGTTTTGGGGTTGTTGGTCTTAGAATCAGGATGGCAATATCAAGTCAAACACATGCCATCTCTTGTTTATCTTTAACCCCATCATCCCTTTCACGATCTCTATCCCTACCCCTATATTCTACCTTCACTGATCTCGGTAAATGTCCTTTATTCCACAAGGATTCTGTGATGAATTAAGAATTAAGAGTTGGCTTGCAAGTCTATTGACAAAGTACAAAATATTTACTAAAAAAAACTACAAATTAACCCTTAGATCAAATTAAAAAATAGAAAAGGAAAAAAAAAAAAAAGGTTCTGTTGAAGACCGTGTTAGTGCCCGAACTCTTATGATAAACTAAGAGAAGGATCTAACTTATATGGAACAAAAAATAAAAGGGAACAAATCATGTTACGTACCTTTACTCATGACATCGACAAGGAACCCATCTGTAAGATAGGAGTCACATGACTCAATTAGACAGTGTTAATCACACATATATAGTGCAAGTAAAAGAGAATGGAAAACTACTATATTCTTAATCTCAATTATGAGAAAAGATAGAGAAAATACTAAGGAGGTAGGATGGAGGACGAAGAGTCGTGAGCTGTCGCAGAGGAGAAATGATGAGGGGCTTTGCAGAGAGCTGAGGTTATGGGCTGAGGAATCGCTGATATGTTTTGATGAGAGGCCATGAGTGAGGGTCAGCTGTGTGAAATGGGGGAATGGGGATGTGAAAGGTGAGGCTGTGTGAGTAAGGGTGAGGTAAGTGAGTCCTAATTGGGATAAGATTCACTACTTTGCAACTTGGTGAAGCTAATTTTTCAACTTATTATACCATGACATGTGTGTATATATAAAATTAATTAATTAATTATTAATAAAACGGTTCGATTCCTGCCAGTTTTTGTTCATTCGAAAACGAAACCGAAACCAATTTTAACAGTCCGGTTCGATTTTTTATTCAAATTTGACTTTTTCGGTGAATGCGGTTTTTTTTTATACGGTACGATACAGTTTTGCGGGTTTTACGCCCACCCGTACATCAGTCCAGATGCATATCCTATAATCCGCATGGGATGCTGTGGAGCAGCAAAAATGGCGGTTTCTTCTCCACTCACTCAACTGACTACTCCACTTCCCTTCTACCATTACCAATCTCACCTCCACCTCCACCTCCACCTCCGCCCCAAAGCTTTCCCCTCCGCCGCCGCCTCCTCACACCCCGACCACAATCATGACCCCCCAGACCTCACTATCCGCAAACACAACTCCAAATCCACCGCCCTCCTCCTCCAACGCCTCTCCCACTTTCCCAACCCTAACCTTAACTCTCACCATCCCCCTCCTCCTCCCCCTCCCGACGACAAATCCAAGCTCCTGGAACGCTCCCTCCTCCGCAAACGTACTCCTCAGTTCCCTGGCTCCATCTCCCTCGACTCATCCTCCCTCGATTCCTTTCGTGACGACGACGACGAGCACCGGATGATAATGCGGGCTCTGGAGATTCGCCGGAAGGTCACGGCAGAGATTTTTAAGGAGGTTATGATGACCAAGGGCAAATTTGGAATCACCTATGCCACCAATCTGACCGAGACCTTGACCGACTTCCTTGACTACGTCATGATCGAAGCTGCCGCCATGAAACGCTCGCCGGAGTTCTCAGATTCCACCTTCAATTTTCGCGCCAAAATTGTCATTGAAGACTCCGAAGTTGTGCCCTGCATTAGGTATTATCAAAAGCTTTACTCTTTTCCCTTGAAGGTTTCAATTTCCATGAGCTATTAGTTAGTAAGAAACAAAGAGATTGAAATTTCTGGATTTAAAGGGATTTATTTGTCCACAATTTGGTTAACGGAATTGGATTGTATAGGTGGTTGAAGCATAACTCACTTTCATATCCCCAAATTGGGAAGCTGATATGCTTGTCAAAGGGAGACATTGGCTCGATTAAACGTCTTGCGGTGTGGTTGAAGTCCATTCATGTTAAGGGGAGTTTTATTGGGGTTGCGCTTGTGAAAGCTGGAGATCATTTTCTGGAGCGCAGCGATGAAGAGTTGAATGCGATTGTTGAGTATTTGGAGAGCAATGGAGTTAAGAGGGATTGGATGGGTTGTGTCATGAGCCGATGCCCGCAATTCTTGTCCTACAGTTTAGAAGAAGTGAAAGCTCGTACGGGGTTTTACTTTGAAATGGGTATCAATGAAAAGGATTTTGGCACAATGGTCTTTGATTTTCCCAGGGTACTTGGCTACTATACTCTTGTTGAGATGAACCAAAAGGTAGCCGACTCCTTCTGCTGATCATTGATTGATTGAAAATTGAAATCATATAGTATCATACTATTATAAAGTATCATGACATGACTGACATGGGCTTTAGGGTTTGAGTTAGAAGAATGTGGAGTAAATTGCATACCGGTTTCATGGTTTGGGTGTATTGATATATATATATATATACACACACACACAGAAATAAAATAAAATAAAATAAAAACTTAGCTTACTGATTTGCATATACATGTAGTGAGATGCTGCTCTTGTTTGTCCAGGTTAACTATTTGAAGGAGTTTGGTCTTAGTACAGAGGACGTTGGCAAATTGCTAGCATTTAGGCCACACCTGATGGGTTGTAGCATTGAGGAAAGATGGAAGCCTCTAGTTAAGTATTTGTATTACCATGGCATAACCCGTGATGGTATGAGGAGAATGCTTACCATTAAACCAATAATTTTCTGTGTTGATTATGAGAAAACCATTGTGCCCAAGGTACGCCACACTTCTTGCGCTTGAACTTTGTTGTTGATGCCTATATATCATGAAACTAACCTGAAACTATCTAATCTAGCTGAATTCTTCTTTACATTTCTTTACCTTCCACCGGATCCTGTTTTAGGAATCCATGTTCCTTGACTCCTATGTAGTTCTGTCAATTGTTTATGAACTCTATGCATAATAGGTTAATGCTAAGTGGTAAATAGGCAAACCACACATATGATGATCTTGACGTTTATTTTCCTACGTGCAGGTAAAGTTTTTTCAGGACATAGGCATTCGAGATGATGCCATAGGCAAAATGCTTGTAAAGTTTCCTCCGTTGCTAACATACAGCCTCTACAAGAAAATTCGGCCAGTGGTTCGTTCTTTTCTTATTCAAGTTCTGTTTCTGTTTCCTATCATTCCTTTAAGTTTATGTGGTAATTTATTTGTATTAACAGCTCTTGAAAACACACTATATGTGCATATGCATGCACACAATAATATATCTTTCTGTATCAGAAAAATAAATCAGTTGATTTCTAATAGTTTAGCACGGATACTTGTCCTTCTTGTTGTAGTAAGCTGGTTAAAGTGAGGTTGGGTTCAGGCTCCATTCTATTAGGTGCATGGGTTAACTTCAAAGCCATAAAAATAATAAATTAAAATCAGGTCATGGGATTGAATGGATCAACCTAAATTCTTAGTTTAATATATAGGCACAGTAACTTTATTGCAGCAACAGACTAAATGATATCAAATAACAGAATTTACAGTTATATTAGTTTTGGTTGTCAGAAACTGCTAATTGCTCAATTCCTTCATCGGCTGTGGTGTACTTGAGAAAAGCCTGGAGATCGTTAGAGATAGTATTCATGAAACAGTTAGTATCAATAAAACAGATAGCTGTGATGAGAAGGACTTAAGGCTTCTCATTTTGTTTTTAAAGGTTTTGACAGGACCCATTCAACCACATTTCGTAGGAGAAACTTATGATTATTACTGATATATGCTTGAAAAATGTGTGATTTGAATCTTATTTGGTGTGGTGACTTTTCAAAGTATATCTCAGTGCTCCATGTTGAAACTGATTACACTGGTTGGAATTTCACTTTTATGTTGGTTCATGATAAATATTTATGGCCCGTTCGATAGCCTTCATTTTAGTTTTAGCTTTTCATTTTTCTTAAAAGATAGAGGGAATGTATATGGAGAAAGAGGAACGAAGTAGGGTGGATAAAGGTGGAGGAAGGGAGAAATTAGAAGGTAGGAAACAAAAAAAAAGTAGAAAAGAAAACCTACGTTTTAGTTTGCACTTTGTGTAAACTTCTTTGTACAGTTCACGTCCTTTGCCCCACCTTTCCTTCACCTTTGCTCATCCCTCTTTTCTCTCTTTTATTTCCTCACTAATCCCAATAAAAATGTCAACTAAAAACGAAGTGGTTATCGAATGGGCCCTTAATATCCAGGTTCAGTTTTTAATTAAAAGAGTAACATCTGCTATTCACCCTTGTAACATGTTACTGGAATATTATACAGGTCATATTCTTGATGACCAAAGCTGGAGTTAGTGAGAGGGATATTGGAAAGGTTATAGCTTTGGGACCAGAGCTCTTAGGATGCAACATTGTGAAAAAGCTCGAGGTTAATGTGAAATATTTTCGGTCACTTGGCATACATCATGGAGTTTTAGGTGAGATGATTGCTGATTTTCCCATGCTGCTGCGATACAATATAGATGTTCTTCGTCCAAAGTACCGTTACTTGAGGAGAACTATGGTTCGCCCTTTGAAAGCCCTCATTGAGTTTCCAAGGTGAAAGCATCAAGCTTTTGGAATTCAAATTTAAGCTTTTCTTTTCACTTTGCTATTAACTTTTTGTAATAATTTCTCGTGTTCCTTCTCTACTATTGACGTTGACCATAATGAGATCTTGTCCAGGTTTTTCAGTTACTCCCTCGAGGGCCGAATTATTCCGAGGCACAAGGTTCTTACAGAGAATTGTATTAATTTAAAACTACGCTACATGCTGGCCTGCACGGATGAAGATTTTGAGAAGAGGGTCAAGACTATAGTTGAAAGGCGCCAAGGATTTGAATCTGGTGTCTTGAGTGAAGATGTGTATCATTCCGAAATGAGTGATGATGAAGACTCGCCTGTGAAGGGAACTATCCCTGATGACGGTGAGAGTGAGGCAGGATTGACTGTGTTCTATGACGGTGAAAGTGAGACAGAATCAAATATGCTTGATGACAGTGATAGTGACGCAGAACTGTAATTTCTACGATATCTCTACATGTCATAGTAGGCATACCACACCTATACGCTGTGGTGCGAGTTCCATCCCCATCTATTTCTCTCCCTCTAACAACTAACTATTACACCATCGTTTGTCCAAAATAAAAAAAATAGCAGGCATATCACACTAAAATATTGCTGACGTAAGGGTCAAGCTATCAGAAGAGGAGGAAATCCATGGTAGCAAAGTAGGTAGCCTGAAATTTGAGTTCATAGATTTTTTACACTTGTAAATGTATACGTTGTATATACAGGGTCCTTCTTACCCTCTTTTGTTTAATGCATTTGATAATCTTGAATTAAATCTTTGTTTCAAAGCATGCTCTTGTCAAGGCCTCAATTTTGGGGTTGGCAGAGGATGTAAAATTAAGCAATTACATAACAAGCAGTTCCTAGTTTTCTTCTGGATAAATTATCGTATAAAATGAAACGGGTAAAACGGCACAAACAAGGAATGGAAAGACCTTAATGGCTGCAAAATGCATAAAAAAGCGACAACCCAGGTGAAGCAGATACATAAGAGTTCAAATTAATGTAAAACTGAGATGTGCATTGTTGGATTTAGCATTAAATCAACATATGCCTAAACTAAAACAAGAATCAAAGAAGGATTGGGATATCTAGTACGCGAGATATCACTGTATATGTTTCTTAGTT